CTGGGATGGGGAAAGTCGTGTTGGATGTGTGTTTGTGGTTAGTGAGTTGGTGTAGAATGCGGAAGACCTTTTTTGGGGGGTACGGCCTTACTGTTTAAGCACGACCACCATTTTTCCCCCCCAGTTCTAGTCCATCTGGGGTTTATTTGTCTTTTAGCTTTGCTTGGGTATTTTTTTGGGGGGGGGGCGGGGTCTTTCCCCTCCTGAGTTGAATCTGAACGCCGACTCCCGGGACCCCCTGGATTAGCGATTGGCAATCAAATCGATCAGTTTCCCCCGGGGGGACCCCGATCTCTCTCTCTGGTCCTTTTAACGTTGCGGCTTTTTTCGGCCAAACCCCCAGACGTCTTTCCCAGGTCGGGACGGCACCCCCATCCCCCGGACCCCCCCGACCACTTACTTCTCGAACAGCGAGGTCCAGCCCGGAGCGAATCCCGGCTCTCTGGTGAACCACAGCAGGGTCATCAGCAGGAAGAAGAGGCCCGTCACCAGCTCGGGGTAACTGTGGGGTCAAGAGGGCAGGAGGAGATTGAGCCGGGGCTGTCCCGGGAGAGAGCTCCGTCTCCTGACTGGGGGATCTCCTCGCGCCAGCCTGGGCTGAGCTCTCCAGGGGGTGGGGGAGACGGGGGCCGGGCCAGCCCTCCCAGTCACGTCGGGGCCCCTCTGCCCTCTCTGGCCCGGTCGCGCAGTGTTGGGTTGAGAGCAGCGTCATCTGCCTTAGCTCCGAAGCTGGCGCTATCTGGCCCAGGGTGCCGAACGGCGAGGTGGCACGCTTTTGGGGGGATGTGTGCTCGGGGGTGGGCGGCCCGGCTGGGGCAGGTGGGAGGCACTGCTGCCTCTCAGCGTTGCTCCCCGGACATGGGGGGGGGTGCTGTCTGTGAGGAGTTTGCATGTTCTCCCCAAGTTCACGTGGGTTTCCTCCCACAATCCCACAAAGACATGCTGGGAGGTTAATAAGCATTTGGGAAAACTGGCTCTGGTGTGTGTGTGTGTGTGTGTGTGTGT